ATTTTTTACAATGTCCGGCTAGAGTCAGAAAAACCGGAAGGTGTGTGACCCACTTTGTGTCGGACTGCTTTCACAACCTCGGTCAGTACAACAGTGGACTGGCTGAAAGACTGTTCCTGAAAGAGGGATTGTACCAACTGTCTGTGGAGAGACGGCAGAGGAAGTAACTGGAAGTATTTTTAAGAATTGATGCTGTTTTTCATTGTTCGTGTAATGCTAGCACATGCTAACAGTTGTTAGCTACAGGAGCCTCAGTGAGCTAACAGAATAAGTAAGTTATGGTGATTATTTTTATGCGACTTTGTACTGACGTGCTAACGTTATGTCAGCTAGCGTTAGCTTTGTTGCTTCGTTCAGGTGTGTGTGTGTGTGTGTGTGTGTGTGTGTGTGTGTGTGTGTGTGTGTTACGGTGTGTAAATTAACTTGATCAACGTGCACCAGAGTTAACAATAGAGCTACAGTGAGAGAGAAATAGTCAAACTGCAGGGATTCATTAGTTTAGTATTACTGTGTAACTTTGATTAGCACCCAGCAGCTGGGGTTGCTCTCTAGGTTGTTTAGTGGAGTCAAACCGCGATGAATAAAGTTTTCTGATCCATTTATTTAGCATTACTGAAGTACTGCTATTACTGACGATATAAGTGTAGGTCCAGTGTAACATCCTATACTCATATCATCTCCTATTGTATTATAAACACTGAGGCTCACTGCTAAATGTCTGTTATTGCACCGGGAACTTGTTCCAACAACATCAGTTACAGTCAGTAAATGTCCTTTTTTGTGTGTGTATCTGCTGCCATTAGATAGACATTGTGTTGGTAACCTCAGACTGTTTCAACAACACATCACTACAGTTAGCTGCAACAAGGAACCCACCAGAGACACTGCTTTATTATTTTATTTTATAACTTAGGACTACTGTGAGCCACAATGAGCTGTTATACGTGTATTATATTATACTGTATTATATTATACTGTATTATATTACACTGTATATTATATTATACTGTATTATATTATACTGTATTATATTACACTGTATATTATATTACACTGTATATTATATTATACTGTATATTATGTGCTGCCTTACAAGTAACACTGAATCTGCCTTGTTTTACAGGTGACCTGATGAAGCTCAGGTGTTCCTGGACCGATCAGAGGACAGAGACAGCTGCAGCATCAGGACAGTCTGGGTATCCAAAGGAAGACTCAACAAGATGAACACTGACTGCAGAGCTCCATTACCAGCTCACACTTCAATATACTAGAAACCATAAACCTTGATGTAGGACATAGTCTGCACAGTTTACATAAAAGTTATAGCTTTGTTACTTACAACATGTGTAACTGGAATATGAATATAAATAAAGTGTTTTACTTTTAAGAAGAGTTTTGGTCATTTTTAAATTCAGTAATAAGTGTGGTTTTATATAAATAACATGTTATTTCACAAAGGTTTTATGAAGATTTTGAAAGAGTTGAAAATCTGGTCATCTATCAATATGAAAATGTGAAATTTAAACCTGTATTAATGACTGTAAGCAACACAATACATTACTGTCTCACATTCAAACTTTATATCATTGGAAGATAAATTACATCATAATACAGTATATAATATAAATGATAGAATATTCAGTATACAGTATTTTTAATGGGGTTCAAACATAATTGCAGCTTTTACACATATCTGAAGGTTAACTTTGGTAATAATACTTTTAAGTTAAAATATCAGACTATTAAATATGGATACCGTACTGTTTACAGTTGGTTACTTGGCAGTTTTTAAACCACATAAACAATTTACTTTATTAAATGAGTGATTCCTTCAGTTATGTTGACATGTTGTACAGGATAAAGTATTCCAGGTTTCTGTTTCCATGGTCTCAGTAAACTAATGTGTATAAAGAATATAACAGATGGGAGGTTACAGTAATCATTATACTATTACTCTGATTACTTTGGTACATTTACTGGGTGTTTCTTCACTAGAAACAACTGCTTGACTAATGTTGTTAATATTATGTAATATATAATATGTTTAACTTCACTGGGCTGTGTAGACTGTAGGTCACTGCTCACTGCTGTACCTGGAAAGACAAGCATAAAACACTGTTGGTTCTCATAGTTAAGGTCTAAACACTAACATTATGTGATAGATAGAGGTTAATATATATATATATTATTAATATAGCAGTATTTACCTGAGGAAAACGTCACTGTTCATTTCTCTGTGATTTCAGGTCAGACTCCCGCTCTAACATGTCCGCTGGTGAAGTTTTTGGTTTAGAAGCAGTTATTGAATTAATATTGACGGTAGAAATGAAGCTAAAGCCAGTAGCAGTAAGGAGCTAACTGCCGGCAACGAAGGGGAGGGGCCGGAGGCGAGTTTACGAATCCTACTATGGCCACGCCAAGTCCCGCCCTATGCACCTTCAGCACCGCCGACGTTCACCGCGCAGTTTGAAGCAGAAAAAGAAAGAGGAAGACGAAGAAAAAGGAAGAGGAGAAAAAAATACGTTAGCCTCTAATAGCAAATTTGCTAGCTAACATTAGTTCAAAACGTCTAACTACTTATGGGTCGGTTAGATAGCTTACTATTCAAGCTAACGTTGTTGTGTTTGTGTCATACTTTGAATAAGTTGATTCTCAGTGTATATATATTATTCTGGGTCGCTTTTGGGCATCAAAACGTTTTTGATAACAACGTTTGATAGCAAATGTTTAATGACTAACGTTAATAACAAACGCAGTGACGTTTGCTAGCAATATGGTTTTGCATTAATGAATTCATTTAGTTAACTTATAGTTTGAGGTATGTTGTTTGCAATTGTTTGCTGCAGAGCACAGTAATTTATGTGAGTAAATAAACATATTCCTTTTACATCAACTCCCTATTATGCTCATACGTTATATGAAACTTCCCCAGGAGCACTGTTAAAGTATTTAGGAGGAGGCACTGACTCAGCCCAGGGGCAATCCACCTCCTCAGGAGCAGCCAAGGCTGATGAATCAGGTGATCAAACACTGTCACCATATATATTTCATTTCTAGTCAAATTATCTCATTAAGATATACTAATATAAAATATAATCATATGACAAGGGACATGTTTTTCATCTCAGGTCCATCTCTATCCTCTGCTCCATCCACTGTGCCCACTGGCCCACAGGACCTTTTCTCTCTACGCAAGAGAATGCTGCTCTCCCCTCTGAGGAGATAGAATGTTGACATTTCGCGGGCATAGGCTACTACAATTCCCTTAATGGCAAGGCTATGTAGAACAACATGTATCAGCCTTGGCTTACCAATATAATAGTCATATTTGATGCAACAAAGTATGGAGGAAAGTGGGAAATGTCAAAACTTGTTTGATATCAATATAGGCTAGTTTAGGTATCAATATGTAGTTTAGAGTTTAGGTTGTTTCATTAGTGTATGTATATTACAATTTACTCTATACCTTCCTGTCCCATAGAGACTGACAGAGTAGCCTATCTGCAAACTGCACTTGGATAGGTAGCCTAAGATATAAAAAATCTTTGTTCGATGTTGGAGTGTATTTTTTACAGTCACAATATCACAGTATGACTAACCCACAACCTGCTCCACAGTATTTTTTCATTAGAAAGACCAACATCTATCGTCAGTATGACAGGTAAATGGTGCCATATTTGCCAGACACATGGCAATGCGGAGCAGTTGGCAGTGCTTGAGGTTAGGAATAAGTGAATGGTTGAGAGTAATTATTTGCAATACTTTTTAATAACATTGAAGAACAACACTGACTTTGTCCTTGTCCTTACACAGACATTATGAATAACAGAAAGTTTTGCCATTGAGCTACACCCCCTCTATTTGTGTGATGGAGCCGAGCGGGGATGCAAACAGTTACAGAGCAGAGGTCAAAGTTAGGATGGAGACCAGAGAGGAGGTGGACAAATGGCTGGCGCATTTCCAGACTTCCTCCACCCTAACGTGGAGGAAAGCAAGAACCTATCCTGAGTCAGGGAGGTATAACGCTTACAGAGTAAGTGCAGCATGGAAGGGTAGCATACAGGGACATACAGGGAGACAATGTGAGGTTCTACATTATGTTTGATTGCAGTACAGGGGGAATACACATGAGTCATGAACAACAGAACCACAAGCAGACTTATTGATTGCTGCATGTATCATACAGGCTGACTTCCGTTGCCAGCACAAGACTTATGGAACTGGGAAACCACCAGGCGCTTTCTTTGGTCACGAGGGTGACGGCCCCTAGACAATCATGACCGATGACTGTGCTGCCCTTCGCCAGGCTCTACATGACGTTTACCCCGGCGTAAGTCTTTTGCTCTGCACATTCCATCTTCTGCAGGCAATGTGGCAGTGGCTATGGAGTAGTCACAGCAGAATCACCAAGGAGATCAGACCACAGCTGCTCAATGGCTTCAGGCAGCTTGTCTATGCAACAACAGAACCCGAGCTACACACAGCCTATGCCCAGCTGTCCGGCAGTGCTTTAACCAGAAAATACCCAAACTTCGCAAAACATCTGGCAGAGGTGTTTGGGAGACGGAATGAGCGGGCGCTGTGCTTGCAGTCACACCTGCTAACACATGGCCACAATACAAACAACTATGTTGAAAGCGCCATGAGAATCGTCAAGGACAAAGTACTGCACAGGCTGAAGGCCTGTAACCTCACCCAGCTGGTGGACTTCATGGTGACACGGTTAGAGGCCTACTACATCAGGTGCCTCACCGTTTTCACCAACAACCGCATGGGAAGTCTACAGTCAAGGCCTCCCAAGTGCGGTGACGTGGACTGCCATACGAGTAATGTTATGTGTATGTATGTCTGCGGCCCAGTGAGCAATGCACTTTAACTCATGCAGAGAGGATGCACAAGGCTCATGCACACCTATTTACTATTGTTTATTATTTTAGTTATTTTAACCATCAATATGTATAGTATCTATACCAGTAAGTATGCTGTACTCTACTCTATTTATACCAGTATGTGTGCTGTACCTAAAAATAGGAGGATGAGAGCAACTTCATGGTGCCCAGTGCATCAAGCAACAGCTGGTACCATGTAAACACCTTAGCAAGTTGCTGCACTTGTCCAGTTGGTGTGACCGGTGCTCCATGCAAGCACCAAAGCGCAGTTATGCAGACATTTAACGTCACAGAGGCAGTCCCTGTAACCACCACATCTCTTCTGAGGCGGCTTTTCCATGGAATCGCCTCTGGTAAGTGACAAGCTGTGTATGCCTCATTCTCACACTAATTCCACTTAATTCCCACAAAAAATGTCTCGAGGTAGATTGACACTGGTGGTACAAGTAGTAGCCAGGTCAACTTTATTGGGACGAGTGCATTCTCACACATGGCTATCCCAGTAAATTTGTTGTGTGCAATAATGAGGTAATCACATTTTGGATTGTGTGTCATTAGATGTAGTCTACACTGACACATGCACCAACAACCACAAATGTGTGCTTTCCACTCAGGGGGTAGCACTCCAGAGGACTGGTTTGAGACACTGGCTTATGAAAAGGCTGTGGTGGGTGAGTACAAACATTTAATTCAACACTGCAAAAACTGATATCTAGCCAAGTGTTATAATCTTATATTGACATAAAAAGATCTAGTTGGTATTGTTTTTAGAGTAAATATACCTACTTTGAGCTTTCTCATACAATTATTTGACTTAAAATAAGTATCTTTATACTAAAAACAATACCAACTAGATCTTTTTATGTCAATATAAGATTATAACACTTGGTTAGATATCAGTTTTTGCAGTGAAGCTGTAGTGGCATTTAAGGCTATGGCTGTGATAGTCATTGCAGCTCAAATACTCAACTTCCATTTCTTTTTCTCAAATAAGAAGAAGATGGGTGCTGTGGGTGCGATGATGGAGATTCAGCTGGACCAGCTCCAAAGACCATCTCAGGTAATAACGGTGTTGCAGTAAGATAATGATGTGTGTTAAACTGGAGAAATGCTAGATATGTGCAGCATGTAAGTCAGGTCGAAAGATTTAGAATTATTTATGTATTTACATACAGACGACCCCCAGTCCCATCTAGCTGAGGAAGCAGGAGCAAGTAAGTTCACCCTCCAAAACCTCATAATAAACCACTTGTCTTCACACTGACACAGGCAGCATTTAATTTGATTGTTAATTTAAGTTAAAGTGTACTAGCTTTTAGTACACTTTAATCTCCCCCATGGTTTCATTTCTTAAGTCCATTCTTATTTTCATCTAAATATTCTTTGCTACTTATTTTATTTCATTAGTAACAGTATAATCGCAACCACCTTTTATTTCCCCCTTCACTTTTGAGTTCATTTGACTGTTTATCTTCCAACATGATCTTTATTTTTTTGTTAATATATAATGTGTGTGTGTGTGTGTGTGTGTGTGTTTTTATTATTATCACCACTGCTTTATTATTATTCTACGTACTCTTTATTTTATTTCTTATGCAGGCATTTTGTATTCTGTATTGTCTTATTTGGTATTTTGCTATTTTCATATGTAATCATTTGTAAAGCACTTTGGGTCAACTGTTGCGTAAAATGTGCTATATAAATAAATTGACTTGACTTGATTGCTATTCGATTTGTCTAGGCACATCAGAGGAAGTTGAGGAGACAGCATTCCTGGAGAAGCAGCTTGAAGACATTGTTGGGCTCCTGAAGCGCAAGCTGCGTGAGGATACAACCTTCACTGCTCCAGTGAAATCCTTTGTGGACACATTTGGGAAGCTCCACACTGACAGTGCTGTACAGTCAGCATTGTTTTCCTTCGGGAAAAACGATCGAGGGCAGTCTAGTGTTCGTGCAAGGCCGAGGGGCTTCCTTCAAACGAGTGCCACTATAGGTGTCCAACCGACAGCGGTGTCCCGGAGAAAGGCAGCTTTGGGTGGTAGGAGAACCCTTGGAGCTGGCAGACCCCCAAAGAGCTCCAGAAAGGAACATGGGTACTCCAGACAAGGCAGACCAAAGGGTGTACCACACAACCACTGAGCGCCCCTCACACCACACTCCTTTCCCCAGTATACATAAAAGTTCTCTTAATCAGTTATTGATCAATTCTTTCTCAATCAGTTCGGTTTGTTTCATTTCGATCAGCTCAATCAGTTCATGGTTCTATTGTTCATTTTTACAAATCTATACAAAACCTATTGTATGTAGTTCTCTGCAAACCTATGTAGGGGGTTAAAGGTTAAGGCTGCCAGTCTTCCGGTCGTTGTGTTCCTTAAACGTCTGTATATAAATTCATACAATCACAACAAATACTAAAAACATACTAAGGCTAACCGCTTAGAGTCAGCGGGGCCTAAGCATTTGTAATAATTGTATTATTATTATTATTATTATTTTCTTTTCTATTATTGTGTTAAATGTTCCAAATGTAAAGCACTTTGAGCTGCATTCTGTGTATGAAAGGTGCTATACAAATAAAGCTTATTATTACTAAGAATTCAACTGTAGTCAATCAACACTAATGGCAGGCGTATGTGTCAAAGACGACATTTTCACTCCTGTTTCATTTAATGTATGCATGTATTCAACATAACTTAACCCAATAGCTACAATACAGGCTATGTATAGGACATGTATACTGTAGGAATTCTGTCATCAAGATTATGGTCATTCTGAGAGTGGTTATTAGGCTACTGATAGTCTGTTCACGCAGTATGGCATAGATTATGATATTACATTTAGTGCTAAAAGCATGATTGTCAGAAGTGAAAAGAATAAGAAACGTATATTCCTTGGTTTTATTTATGCAAGTTCTCACTCAAAGTAAAATGTAGCCTATTTGTAAAATTTCTAATGATGAAATGAGTGATGACCGATAAGCCTGCCTTTGATTTGTGTGTTTCCTAACCCTAGGAATAAAGATTGAATTGAATCCAAGAGATGTTAGGCCTTACTATCCAAAGAAAGGCGTGCACATGACTGTGATGCTCCCATAAAAGTTTATTGTGGAGTTGTGTCACAATTTCCCTACAAATTCAGTCGCATTTTAACGATAACAACAACGAACAGTCAATATAACAACAACAAACAGTCAATATAACAACAACGATAGCGATGAGCGGAACGGCAGCGTACGAGTACACAAATAATTTGTTTCGCCGTACCAGCACACGCGAGAGCGTAGCGTACATCCTCATTGAGCTCAGCCAATCAGAGGTAGCCAGAGGGGCGGGACTTGGCGTGGCCATAGTAGGATTCGTAAATTCGCGGCCAGAGCATCATCCGCATGAGCCGCGTCATAATGCCGACCAATCGAGCAGACTGGGCTTTTCGGGAGGGGGGTCTTAAGGAGACAGGAGCTACAACCGAGCGATTCAGACAGAGGCTGAAAAGAGGTGCTCAGCTGTAGGCAGTATGAGAAAAATAATGTGTTTTTTGAACATTAAAACATCTAAACCTATTGTAGGAGAGCCACAAAATACAATTATGAACCTGAAAAGGGGCATAATATGACTCCTTTAAAGGGACACTTCACCCATTTGCATTAAGCTGTGTATCATTAGAACCCCAGTCATATTTTTGAATGGTCGTGCATCATTCCCTCCCTTCCCCTGAGAGGGGAGAAATAAGGATTTTAGTGTTGCACTTCCTGCTTCCAATGATGTAAAAATCATCATTTTGCGTCATTGGAAGAAGGAAATTTTCTCTCAGAGGGGGTGAGACTACAAACACTACTTCCTCATTTTTTTTACTCACGCTACAGACCTATTACAGATCAGTGGGTGGGACTTCACCTGCAAAAACAAAAAAAAAACGCCATCTTGTTTGGAAGCTAAGCGGAGGCGCTGACGAGCCAGACGTTACGACTATGGTAATCAATCTAATATGGAAGAAATTTTGAAAGTAGTTGGTTGAATCAGATGTTCATGGCTACCTTTATGAGCCACAATATAGCAAAGAGCAGCTGAGGCTGAACAGGAGGCGGCTGAGGCTTCTGCAGCCGAGGCAGAGGACCTGCCCGTCGCGGACGAAGAGCCCGGACTGGCTCGAGCTGGGGCGGACTGCTGGTGCCTGTGCTCTCGCTGTGCGCCTACGGACACACGGACGTCTGACTGTAAAGTGAGTGTTTCTATTTTCTGTCTTATAACAACGTGGCACGTATGTACACAATTTGTTCAAGTATTATCACGAAGTTATTCCCGGTTAATACGTAACGTCAGCCAACTGAACTAACGTTAGCTTCTTTACTGCACAAACAGCTTGCAGTTGCATTGCTAACTACTGTGGCACGCTAAACACAAAGACCATGCATCGCTAACTGTGTGCTCAATGTCTTGTAGACAATATCGCCTAACAGCCTTTCTGGAATGGGTCCTGCAAGGCGAGAGATTGGGTCGAGGCCATCGTGTCGTTTTCCCCGCTGATGTGGTGCAGGCTATCCGACAGAAATATCCAGCTCCAGATGGCCAGTACTGCGGCACCGAGGAGTTGAGGACGCTCAGGAGGAACTATAACTGTCATTGTTAACATATTTATTTTTGTTGTTGTTGATATATTTCTATACATAAATGGTTTACATTCATGTTGTTGTAGTCCTTGATAGTGTTAGTGGGAGTGGCTTGCGGAGCTGTGCATTGTGGGAGTTGTTGTCTTTAATACAAATGCGCCCTAAAGTCACTTTCTGTCTTTTCTCGGTCAAATAGGCACCAAATTCAAAATGTATGTTAAATTTCGACTACATATATAACCCACTTTCAATAAATATTAATGTTTCCACGGGTGAAATGCTCCTTTAAAGCACTAGAAGTAAAGCAACCTGTAATGCAAATGCTGGCCTGTGAGTAATTGTTATCTTACCTGTGATGGATTTGGGTTGGGTCTCTCAGCCCCTGGTCCTTGCATGGTCTGGTGCTCTCCTATATTAACCACATCGTCCTCAGCAGCTGATCCATTCTGAAGTTGGTAAGTGTGTGGGAAGTTAGTCACTGAATCTAGTGTTATTTTGATATTGAGTGTGATCTTAAAGCACTAGAAGTAAAGCAACCTGCTCCAACTATTACACTCTGAAATTTGAACAATGTGTGTAGCTAGTTTGTTACGTTGTAGGAGTCAGTTCCTCTAAATACGAAATACCAATAAACTAACATAGTGAACAAATGTGTATTACCTGTGTCCTGACCTGCATGTTTTTCAATTCTGCACACTATTGTCACTAACCTATAGGTTACTACTACTAGATATGTTGTTGTACTACACTCCACCCCATATTGTATTACACACACACATACATCCTGAACATTTTGGTGTATGATTTATGTGAATATCATACATTGTTCCAAGACTGAATGTTTTGTTATTACTGGACATAAGTTTCCACAGACATACACAAAGAAGAAATGGGTAGTTACAGTTCATTACATTAGTCTATACACTGGCCCACAGGCCTACTGCTGTCTACACGAAACCATCCAAATTTAAGCATTGCAACAATGGTTGCTCACATTGTTCCAGTCAAAAACTAAAGAGTAGACAATAGGCTATAATGAATGAATTATGCATTGTCAGTGTCCTGACCTTACTGTCAGCACTCTTCCATTTTCCTGCTGTTAACTGCAGTGGTGCATCATGGTGAGCTGGAGGCTGTAAGCAAAACAATTATCACCATCCATGTCAGTGTACTGCAGAAAATAAAATCTAACCAAGTGTTATTAAGATAAAAACATCTATTTGGTATTGATTTTAGTATGAAGAGACTTACCAGGCTCTCTTGAAAGATCATTTTGGCTAACTTTAAGAGGACTTATTTGAAGGAGTCTTATCAAGACCAATTTGCTCAACGCACTACGAGACAAAATTACTGGTTTTTAGGACAAATTTGCTTAACGCACTGGCAGACAAATTCACTTGTTTTCAGGATGAGACGTCTTAAGTCAAACTGTAGATTATGTCAAATGATTTTACGAGAAAGGGTTAGGTAAGTCTCTTTATACTGAAAACAATACCAACTACTTTTTTGATCTTGATATAAGATTAATAAGGCTTTTTTATGTTTATTTGATAAGCAGTTTTTGCAGTGTGTCAAAGCAATTTGGCTGAAATGTTCATCACACCTTGTGATCCATGCAATAGACAATATCATAAGCATAAAAAAAATACTTATCATCATCATAGGCTAGCTTACTTCTCTGTCATGACGTTCTAAAATTCTGTCAGGGACTTCAACGCCAGTGCTGTAAAGGTACTGCTTGTACCGTCTTCTGCCTTTTCCCTGAAACAAAAGACAATTTCAAGACAGTATAGATAGCCTGTAAGATGGTGAAGCTAGCCTATACTTGCCTACTAGTTATCATGAATATCTGGTAGCTTTCTCCATTTCTCAGCCTGCTACTTGTTATTATCCTATATCATGCCTAATATTTATTATTAATAACATTACTACTACTTCTGTTCTTCTTCTTCTTATTATTATTATTATGGTAGATGTAGTAGGACAACTACTAGGCTACCATAATAATAATAATATTAATAGGCCTGATAATAATAATAATAACAAAAACATATCAATAATTCAAAACAATTATACCACTTATAATTACCTTCATGTGTCTGTATTCTGTTGTCCTTGGTATTTTCTTGTTATTAACCAATAAGTAGGACTTGTACTTGGATTGTACAGGTGGCGTATTTGAAAAATTATTGTTGAGCAGTGCAACAGATCAAGATTCAAGACTAAGCAGTAGATGGCTATGAATGGACCCAGGAATTGGACCTACCCACCGGTCGGTTCCCACATCCAATCAGTGTGCGCAGCATCATCGACATCCAATCACTATGTAGAAGTTTGGGCGGCAATTAGTTACACTGCCACACAAGGATGAAATTTTGATTTCAGAGGTGGGGGGGACACAAGTATTTTTAATAAAACATTAACTCTTTGAGTTCACTGTGTTTTCTAGTAGTTCTTCTAGTTTTCTATTGCTACTTTTAAGTTTACTGTTCCCTTTTTTGGTTTGACTGGTTGTAAAGCATGTAGCAAAACATTATCACCCAATTCTGTGTTTCACCTTGTTAGTCAACTTCACTCCAACTCAGTACCACCAATTTTACACTTCTTTTTGGAATATATGGTAAACAGACCTCATTTACATAGCGGATATGCTGCTTTATTGGGAGCCAGTGAAGGTGTTGCAGGATGGGTGTAACGCATTTCTTTGAGTAACTTACACTTTGACTTCTAAGGAAGTCTCTTATGTCCACTTTTCTTTTTTTAGACATCCTGGCTGCGCCTAATTACCAAACACACATACACACATACACACATACACATACACACACACGGACACACACACATAAACACACATACACACACACACACACACACACACACACACACACACACACACACACACACACACACACACACACACACACACACACACACACACACACACACACACACACACACACACACACACACACACACACACACACACACACACACACACACGCACACACACACATACACACACACACACCACACATATACACACACACACACACACACATACACACACACACACACACACACACACACACACACACACACACACACACACACACACACACACACACACACACACACACACACACACACACACACACACACACACACACACACACACACACACACATGGACACCGATTCAAACGTGAATGTAAATGAAACCTCTGATGTTACCTGGGCAACTCCAGCAGACCGGTGTGCAAGCAAGATGGAGTGACAGCGGGGACGGCCAATCACACAACAAACGGCAGAGCCAATCGAGGAGCTTGTGGGCGGGTCTAAACTCAGGGAAACAGGCTTCAGCTGAGCGGCCGTTTTCCGCTTGGTCCTTGTGCTTGACGAGTCTCTGTTTACTATAACGTAACATTGTTTTTGGACGGTACAAACTGCAGGGGACCGAAACCATAGACCTATATATATATGAATATATATACATCCTTGGTATATCCATATATATATATATGGATATATGTCTATGACCAAAACGGCCTTTTGAAAAAGTGCAGGGGACATGTCCCCTGTGTCCCCCCCCAAATTACGTCCGTGCTGCCACAACGTATCCAAATACATTGACAGTTATTATTTGAAATTCATCACTGATACTCGGTACGCGGTAACAGGGTAACTTAACTTTAGCACAATGTACGGGTTGTTTTACTTCGTAGATGGGTCCGTTATTACAGATAGTACATCTATTATACAGGATGCATATAGAAATGTAACGTTAGGTATTAGTCACCTGCAAGGAAGACCTCCAGTCCAAGCATGGCTGGATAGAGGCGATATTACGGAAGCCGGTCGCAGCCAAACTCCTGTTCTTGGTGGGTAAGTTCTAAAACAATGGAAATATTCTGAAATACTCTTTGTAACTTAACAGAAATGCAACACGGCTTTCCAAATGTAAACACTGTCTGTGCAAAATAAGAGAACAACTTCAACTTTCATTGTATTAATACTGAAAAGAGCGCGAACGCTAATCGCTAGCTAAGCCTAGCTTTGGTTAATGTGTTTAATTGTATTATGCACCTGAAGGAGTGCTAATGTACATTGTGAGCCAAATGTTAGTTTGGTTAAGGAACAAGACTGATGAAAGTAATAAAATACAAATAAATGAAATGACAGTGACATTCCTGTCTTGAAATGAATAAAAGGTCACATGGAATTTGTATTTTATTTGTTTCCTGTTAAGTTAATTGTGAACAGTAATGTTTGAAAAAAGTAATTGAAAGTTGTTGCATTTAGAATGAACTCTGTCTATGAAGTCATTCAAAGCAAATATTGGGTCTTCACAGAAAACTACAAAGAAGTGGTCGAGAAGCGTGTTGCTTTCCTCCAGGGGGAGGATGTATGGTCTTCCTTTGGAGAAGGGGATGATGAAGGAAGGAATGAGCGTAAGCTTGATTTATGACTTAAGAGTAATGGAGCATTGTGATTCCACTTTACAAATAATAATGCTGTGGCATCGTAGAATGTGTTTGCCATGGGAGTTACATTTTTGCAGACTTTTCCAAGCTGGGTGCACAAGCATTTAGCAGCTTTAGTCAGCAAATCTAAATTTCAAATGATAAATATTACTTAAAAGACTGTGAAACAAATCAAGTTAGCTTTTTTGTAATGCCATGCATGTTAAGTCAAGATTAAGTCTCCTGTTACAAATACTATCAGAGTGATGGATGGAGGTGGATTCTTGGAAAGTGTGGTGTAGTTGCTATATGAAGAAATGCACTATTAAAGCTATTAAAAAAGGAGTCTCTACAGTTACTTAAAGGAGAAATCCGGCGAGTTTTCACATACATCTCTGCCTGGCTGCGTTAGCTGCTGGTTGTAGCAACTCGAGCTAGGTAAAACTGATTGTTTTCATTTTGTTTTGTACCGACAGAACTCGGTGACCTCGAGAAACGGAGATCTTTGTGAAAACTCGCTGGATTTCCCCTTTAAAGTCTGCTGGTTTGTGTGGGAATGTTCAAAATCATTCTCTTAAACAAGATGTACATTGTCAGTCTGGTACACAGATGGCCAAGATGGATGAGGTGCTGAAGAGGGACCTCAAACGGCAACGTACAGCACAAGTCGAGTCTGATTCCGACGATACGTGTTGCGACATGTTTGATCAACCCAAAAAACGTAAACCGGTAACCACCTTCATCAAATAATGAGTAGTGTTCCCCAGAGAATTGTCAGAGTTTACACTGGTGGATGATAGCCTATTGGTGCTGACATGCATATAATAGTGCTCCTTGCGCTTGCATTGAATTATGTCCCAATATCAAAGTCCAAACCCAACCTACAAACCTATGCCCTTTGTGCTCAGGGTAAAGCTTTAGGTGATATAGCAAAACTGCATTTTTGTGAAAATGAGTTACTATTCAAGACTGTATGAACTCTGTTGATTTATACGCATACACTCACACCATGGAAATTGTGTTTTGGCGTGTGTATGATTAGGAGTCTATAGCTGCCCTTTTTGTTTAAGGTAATTAGGTTGATGTTTTCTGCATAGGTGGTTGTGACCAGTGACGAGGAGGACGCCATCCCTCAGGTGGAGTCTCAGCGGCCTGCTGTTTTTGTTGAGATGGACGAGGACACATTAAGGGCTCTGAAAGGTGGGTGGGTGCATAGGTATGCTAGTGATGCCAGGGTTATCTCTGCCACCACCTGAACCCTCCCATACACCTGCAGCCATTGTCAATGAGGTCATGAAGTGAATTCAAGACATGCACCCCTCTGTTAATTTGAAGAACATACATGTTACGTGTTATGTCTTAGAATACAGACCCGACTTCCCACATATTACATATTGGAAAATAATCCACAGCCATTTTTGCCATCATTGTCTACCGTTAATGCTCCTTGTTTGAGTTTCACTGATTGAACAATATGGCACAAGTGACAGTGGGGTTGGTACAGATATAACCACGAGGCCTCTGGCAGACTGGCGCAGGTAACCACAGCCGTGGGTATCTGTACCAATACCATGACCACAAGTGCCATATTGCTTTTTACATCAGTTCCACTTCCATCACGTTTAAGATATCAAATTGTGTTTTCATATTTATGTAGATTTATTTATTTTTTATTTCATCCACTCCAAAATAGTTGCTAATCTTCCATCTCTGTTGCCAAGCACGCAATATATCAATCAAGAGAAGGGTCCAGTGAGACAGGCTATATGGTCTTATTCACACAAGAATGTGTAGCAGTTGCTTGTAGGGTTCCCACAGGTCATGGAATATTTGGAATATCATGGATTTTCAGGAAAGGTCAGGGAATGATCATTTTTGGGGCAAAGTCATGGAATGCTGGGGAATTTTGTTTTAGCAGTTTAAAATGTATTATTAATACAAATATACTGTATTTCCACACAAAATCAATGTATATCTGGCTATTAGCTTTACTGCTTGCTTGAGTAGTTGTGGTTAACCCAACTTCAATTCAAATTCAATGCCCATTTATTCATCTCCCACTCTAAAAAGTAAAAGATGCTTGAACGCTATGAGGCTACTCTGAAATCATTGGTCAGTTTATTGTACCATTCATAGTAGGTCATGGAAGTTCATTTTTTTGTCTGGGGAACTCAAGTCATGGAATTTTACATTTGACTTAACATGGGAACCCTGTGCTTCTCTATACTTCACATGCTATACTAAACATTTGCCCTACTCCATCTTCTCACTCAATAATGGCTTTGAGTGAGTGGAACATTCATGTCAGACATGCATGCTAGCGGTGAAAAGTATGAGTAATGATCCTCATCCAATCAGATAAAATGACAGTTAAATCAGATCTAGCGCTTGTGAAATGACATTCATATATGTGCTATTTTCTGTCACAATGTGATACTTATTCTTTGTGTCATAATGTGATACTGTGTCCTTGTTTTAGGGCTGCCAGGACTGGTGTCTTCACTCAAAACCGTCCTAAACAAATGGCAGATTCACCTTCTTCCATGAATTCCAGCCAAAGCGACTCACCATGCACTGGCAGTGACACTGGCAGTGAAGACATGGTATGACTGAAGGATCTTGCATGTTCACCAATTCATGCAAATTCAGGGATTTTGCTGCATTTGCGGGTTGTAATATTCAATAAATGCGAAATCATACACTGCAGAAACTACTGCTATATTTGCAAAATCTTTGTTATGATTGAGTGCAATAAGCATAAACAAAAAAATCTTACAAGATCCTGGAATTACTAACTAAAACACTTGAAGCCAAGACACGTGCCATCCTGCCCTTTAGGGAAGTGTTTGTAATGTACCTTTTGTCTTAATCTGCTTGTGTGTTTTCACAGATGTCATTGAGCAACTCATCAGTGCAAGTCCCAAAACGTCTCTATCAGAGGCTGAGTGGGAGGAGGATGTCCCTCTTTACACAGGAACTGGCCACATTGGTGTTTGGAAGGGAAACTTTGGCCAAGGCAATCCTCACAGGGAAAGGGAAAAAAGGCGAGCTGAAGGAGCAGCTTGAGCCAGAAAAAACCAACGCAATTATAGGTACAGTAGTGTCATAATTATGAATACACAATCATTGTGATGATTAATTGACAAATCCATTATCATCAATGATTGTATTTCAATGTTATACATTGTCTATCTTGTATTAATTCATGCCCATGTTTCTTTCCTGTTTTCACAGATGCAGTGAGGGAGCGATTCCCCAACACAGAGGTGACCGAGATCCGGGCCCTTCTACGGAGGAAGTGCAACAATGAGAGCTACAAGGCCTTATCTCATAATCAGAGTTAGATGTTGTTCGTTGAAGTTAAAGGCTGTTTGCTGGTGCTGTGCAATATCTGCTTTTGCATTAGTGTATCATCTTTCTTGTGAGTGTGTTTGTGTTGTTTTCTCCTCTGTGTCAGTTCTAGTTCTTCTTCAGATCGATGGCACAGAATGGTGATGTGTAATTATGTTCCTGTTATTGTGTTATTACCATTATATGTCCTTTGCTTGAATTATGTATTTTAGTTTGAAGTGTAATAAAGTTCCTTTTCTGAAATGCAATCTGTAATCTGTTGATGTAATGCACTTGAAATGTATTGAAATATAATACACTTGTAGTATAATAGCAACATTTATTCTTAAGTTTAACAAATACAATTGTTTTCAAGAAAACACTATAATAACGTCACACTTAAAGTATGTGTCTATGATGTTTAGGTTGTTATTGAACTTCACTTTAAACACATTATCATTGTCATAGTGGGACACTTTAAAAGCACTAAATATAGTAAGGAAGTGTATTTGTAGATCACTTGAAATATTAAAGAGGCATACTAAATTAACATAGTTTATAGTAATAATAATTATGATAACAGTATGTACAAAATGTACTTAAACACAACTGTAAGTTGAGCTGCAATGCCTTTTTAAAGTCGCCAAGTTGGCAACACTGCACGGTGGAACAGTAAAGTTGCAATGATGCAGTCAGTCAGCAAACAGTACCGTGAAATCCAACAAGCCATGGAAGAGAAAGATCAGCTTGACAGACTGGATGGCATTCAGCTGGACGTGTTGAACACGATCACTGAGTTCTTGTTGCTTTTTAAAATTGAAGAGCTGGAAGGTGACAAGTATCCAGCTATTCAACTAGTGGTGCTTTGGTTTTATAAACTGAAGAAACACTGCAACCTGGCCAATGCAGTTCTTAAACGAGAAATTGTCCATCGGCGTCACCCACAAGCTTGGGGCGCTTTGTCCACGTTTCAAGTCCCTCAAGATGTTTCCAGCTGAGGAGAGAAACGCTGTTCACGACCAGGCCAGACGACTTGTCAGGGAATAATAGGCCTAATAATAATAATAGGCCTGATAATAAATACTCTATAGGCCCAATCTTATAACAGCGTATTAATACAATGGTTTATTTATCAACAATTTCCTACAGTGTAAATGTAAATCAAAATAGTAAAACTATATTATTCCATTTTATTTTTTAGTTGAGAAACCTGAGAGAGCCAAAAGAAAAAGGGATGAGTTCAGCGAGTGGGAGGATTATGGTGAAGAAGATGGCGAGAAAGACGAGGTTCAGGGCTACATTGACAGCCAGTTCTTGTGGGATGGGAATGATCTTCTACGTTTCTGGGAGTCGCAGTCAAAGGCCTTCCCTCTGCTTGCCAAGGTGGCAAGGATGATTCTCTGCATCCCAGAACAAGGCAGGTTCAGTCAGCCGGCCGGGTGCTCGAGTCCAGGCGAAACAGACTCAACCCCGGCACAGTTGATACCATTCTTTTTTTGCAAAGTGCCGCATGTTAAATGCCAATGCCTTCATGAAAATAGCCATATGTGGTACAGTTTATAATTCTATTATGTGCTATAAGAAACCTTTAGAAAACAGGTGTAGCCTGTAGGTAGACACTCTGTTTTAGCCTATGTAGTGTTCATTTATTATTTTTATTGCAAATAATACCTACACAAATGCAAGCCTAAATTTAGTTTAATTTATGATTTATTTATTGTTTATTTTGATACGTTAATATATTTATTATTATTAAGATTTGAATTTGTTGTTGCCAGTTCCCAGTGCCCCTCGAAGGGCTGTTTTCAAGCACATTTGTCAGACCAAATGAAAGTCTTATTCAATGACATATTTAACGTGTCTTTAACCCTCTGTCGCATAGCGGTCACTACAGTGGACAGCTGTTTAAAAGTCATCTTCTCCAAAATGCAATAGTTTCTATGGTGGAATTGCATATCAGCCGTTAGAATGCTCTCTGCTGCCCCCCTCCATTGCGGTTTATTCAGTGGTTAGTTGTTGTAACTACAAGTGAACCTCCTCTGAATCCAAGATGGCCGACAGACAGCCACACCTGTTGACCACTGCTGGAATATCCTGTCAATCCTTTTATACCAGGAGAACCCTAGAGGTAAAAAAAAATACAATGGTATGCAGGAATATCTAAGGAACAATATTATTCTTTTAGTTTTGAACATTTTATTTCAAATAAGTAGTAAATTGTGATTAACCATGTGTCCAATGAAGTGGACATCATGCACAAAAGTATATTTCCAACACAAGTCATGTGGTTGATTCATCTTTTATTATGACTATCTTGGTTGTAATTCAGTGCATTTTGGGTATATTTATGTTAGTTTTTAAAAAATTATACATTTTTGTGCAGATTAGTTGTAGTTTGTGTTTGTAAAAATGATCATTTTGTCATATTTTTAGACCACAAGTGCAGCAAAGAATAGGGAAGACTATAGAATAGTCCAGGAAATCAACACATGGGTGGGGTGGATCTTGTTGACCAGTGTGTGGCAATGTATCCCCACAGACGTAGAAACAAGCGGTGGTATATCCAAGTGTTTTTTCATTTTTTGGATGTGACCGTTGTTAATGCCTGGTGCCTCTACCTGATGTCTGGATTGGAAAAGATGAATCTCCTCATCTTCAAAGCTTCTGTAGCCCATGCACTGATAAATGCTGGCTCCCTCCAGCAAAGCAGAAGAGGAAGACCCAGTGGGACCCCACCTCCAGCAAAGCACAGAACAGTGACCAAAGTACCCAGTGAGGTTCAGCACAGGAAATCACTGGCCCAAGCTCACCCAGGTCAAAAATGCAAACAGATGCCACGTTGCTGCATGTACACGGGAGACCAAATACATCTGCATGCAGTGCTGTGTGGCACTGTGCCCTGGACGCTTTGCCAACTTTCATATAGCCTAGGATTGATGAACTGAGCATATACTGAGGTTTATTTGAAAAAAAAAAAAATTCAGCCCACTATATAAGTGTTAATGTGCAATAACGTTGCGTTGAGTGAACGTGTTTAAAAAATAAGTTGAAAAACAAAAATATGTTTAAATGCATTCAAAATATGTTTAAAAACACACAAAGGTGTAAAATGTGTTTTAAAAATGTTTAATAGCGGCGGGGCGGGTTTTGAAAATAGATGCAGTTGTGCGGGCGGGATGGAGCGGGTCAAATTAGTTCCAACTAGTGTGCGGACACAGGGGAGTCTTTGTCCCGATTTGCGGGACCCGCAGGTTGGAAAAGACCCCAAACCGCGCATCACAAGTTCCAACTAGTGTGCGAACACAGGGGAGTATTTGCCTCGATTGGGGACTACACAGACTCGTGCCATTAAAAAACACTTGGAACGCAACAAGCTCGAGCTGAGCTATAAGGAAACCACTAAGGTTGAGCAGAAGCTAACCTGCCTAATAGCTAGGGTTAAAGAATTCCTTACCGTCTACCTTCCCTACATCTTTTCTATACCTCCTCCTTTCCCCATATCTTCTCTCATTTTCCTCCTTTCCCAACATCTTTTCCCGACCTTCTCCTTTCCTCCTTTTCCTGCACCTCTTCTTTTCTCCCTTTTTTTCAATCTCGTTAATCGTCTTCTATAACCTTTTTTGAGGACACCAAAAAAGGGTAGGTTTGCACTGGTGCCTCACAGTCAGGTTCTGATTCAGGCCAGACCTTTCTGTTTGGAGTTCAAATATTCTCCCCATGTTTGTGTGGGTTTACTCCGGGTGCTCCGGTTTCCTCCCACTGTCAAAATATATGTAAAATTTGGAGTAAAAGTAATTCTCGCTATATCCCCTTTCCGGTTCCGGTTTATCTTTTCCTTACCCCACATCTTGTCCCTACATCATCTTTCCCCAAATCTTTTCCCTACCTTCTCCTTTCCCCAAATCTTTGCCTAACCTTCTCCTTTCCCCACGTTTTTTCTTTACATCCTATTTCCCCACATCTTGTCCCAACATACTCTTTTACCTACATCTTTTTCCTGCACCTTTTCGTCTGATGTTAAACTCAGAAAACTTGTACTTGGCCCCAAAAACCTTGGAGACTCACTGTCTAAAGATGTAGTTAGTCTTGATCAGCGGGGGGCGCCAGAGGACTTCAGGGGAGGCGTGTGGCGTGAGAAAAAAATACACCGGGGAAAAAAGGGTATCATAATGGATTAGTACCTCAGGTGAAAATGAGAGTGGACACGGAGGCGAGCAGAAAATGGAGGAAGTATGACCCTGATTATTTAAAGTTTGGTTTTTCATTCATTGGTCCTGATGATGCTCCGCTGCCACAGGGTGTCATTTGCAACGAGGTGCTAGCTAACGACAGTATGTGACCATGTAAACTCCGACGCCGGATTTGCAATCGGTTTATTATTATATTAAGGATTTACGCACGAGGGGAGATCAGCAGTGTTTCAGCCCACTATGTAAGTGTTAATGTGGAATAATGTCGGATGAGTGCACGTGTTTAAAAAATCAGTTGAAAAGTTAAATTGTGTGGTTTTTTTTTAACGAAAATATGTTTAAATGCATTCAACTGAACCATCTGCAGCTCAATGTGACAAAGACAAAGGAGCTCATAGTGGATCTGAGGAGGGCGAAATCACCTGTGACCCCTGTTTCCATCCAGGGGGTCCCTGTGGACACTGTGGAGGAATATAAGTACCTGGGGGTGTACTTAAATAATAAGTTGGACTGGACCACACAGCAAATTCAGAAGTGTTCAATTTTCGGTGTTAGTGAAATTTGAGCAAAAGTAGAGTTAATTCTACTCTGATAGAGTTCAATCCACTATATTTGACTTCAGTTGATAAGTAGTTGGTGTCAAAACCAAGTGTAAAAACAAAGTGTCACTAAATTAAACCTGTAAGTGTAATTTTATAAAATATTGACTCTGAACTTCTCACTCTAAACTCCGATCCTGGGTTTTACACTTGAAGTGTTCATGTGACCCTGCCCCCACTGCATACACACACGCCATTGGCTGAAGCCAGAAGATCTGTGAGCGCTCCACCGACTGCTGCACGAGGGATTTTGCGAATGACCTGCGTTTGGTAAGTAAATTAAGTATTATCGGTTAATGTTATATTTTATATTTATTTGCCTTCTGGTACCCGTTTTGCAATGGTAAACCAGTGTAATTTTAATTCATGTCGACCCACTCTTACTAGAGACCCTATCACTCGTGGTTAGCTAATCTCGCTTTCAATTTTTTACAGTATTTACTGTCAAAAAACAGTCTCGTAGTTT